CGGACGAGTCTGGGCCCAGGGCACGTGCCGCGGAGCTCCGCGCAACGGGAGTCCAGGCCGATCGGCGGGATCCATACTACATCCCTTAACCCTCAGAGGCCAGGGCGCACCTGAGCGTGCGGTAAGCACGTGCGGAGCTTGGCGTCAGTCCCCCTGGCTGTTTCCGCCTCGTGGTATCCCGGGCCTCCGACCCCCAACCTAGGCGTCCTCCGAGGGAGCAAGGGGTGACCCGGTCTCCCAGAGGCCACAGTGGCCCGTGCCACTCTAGTCAGCTGACCTGCTGGGGGTGCCGGAAGGAACTGCGGAGAGGTAGTAGCTATGGGTGGGGAGGGCGGCAGGTGACAGTCTTGGCGAGTGTGTCACTTCCGTCACTTTCCTCAGGTGTCAAGGTCTCCTCCAACAATAAGGGTCAGTTTTCCTGGGCCACGGTCGCCTTAGTTTTAGTCTGCTTCTGCACACTTGACGCCTGGGAGCCCGGGAGAAATCAGAAGTAAATCTAGGAAGCCTGATGGTTTCTGAAGCCTGCCTGTCTGCCTCAGGGAGAGCCAATCTGGCTATGACCCCTGGCAGCCTCACTCTCACACCTTGAGATGTGGAGTTAGTTCCATAACATAGAACTTGCCTGTTTGTGGAGCAGTCCGGGTTTGGGGAGACCAGCAACCCCCTGCTCTTTCCAATTTCCTAAGAGTGAGTGTGCCCTCATTTTCTTTACAGAAGGTTCCTGTACACAAAGCAGAGTGGATGCTCCTAACAATTCATACACCTGTTGAACAGGCACCCCACCTTTCTCGAGCCAGGTGCCTGGCCCCAGGAAGCACCCAGACCCAAAACCTGCACAGTGGCAGCATGATAGAAATCTGTGTGGTATGGTCCCTCCCTTTCCCTTGATTGGCCAGAATGGCCTCTAGGACCTCCTCGATGGGCACTGATGAGACCTTGCTGTGCCTGTGATGTCACAGTTGGTAGAGTGGGCAAGCACAGCGATGCCACTGAATGTTTGCAGGCCAGGGAGGTGTTAAAAAGGTGTTGGGATCAGGATAGGTGCAGGTGGGCTGTGCAGGCCTCAAGCGGCTCCTATGCCTGTTGTGCTATGGGCAGCCAACTCTGTTTATGAGACTTTGCCTCCGTAGGTAGCCCAGTAGGAAAGTGTGAGTTTGACCTTGGTGTAGAGAGGCTGCTCTTAAAACTTAACACTAGACCTTGTTATTCCAAATGAAACATGTTTTAAAGCAAACCAGGTTTCTCTGGAGCACATTCGCCTTTTGTACTTGAACCAAGCCAGAGTTGGAAGGACTGGTTCCAAGTTCAGTGTTGTGTACTTTCCAGGTGGTTATTAAAAATGAGAGCTGGGCAGAGGGTACCTGCAAAACCAGCTTTTACTGTGTTCTAGCCTTACCTAACACCGGCATAGCCCCTGCCATGGAGTAAGACTGTTTTCCGGACTGTTCTTTGTCCACAACATGTGGCTTTCACTTGGGGCCATGTGCCGGCTGGAGGGTTTGTTTACACTCTCAGGCAAAGCTGCTTGCTGTCTAGACCTAGAAGTTGTGCCTGTTTCTGCTCTGGCTGTTTCTGAGTCTAAAGGTTTCTGAAGTGGACTTTCTGGATTTCGGGTCCAGTCCACACGGGAAATGGAAATCCGGCCAGCTGGGAGAATTTCTCTGTGTGGCTGCTCCTGAGAGCTGTAAACAGTGACTCACGCTCCCCTCCCCAGCCTCCAGTTCTCTGCTAATGGAAGATGTGTTGCTCCGGTATTTACTTTTGCTTTTTATAAGTCACAGACTCGTCATGTTTCCTCTTTCTTACAGTTTCAGGAAACTGAAAGTGTTATCTGAAAACCGTAGAATTTCAGAGCAGGTAGATGGGAGCCTGAGTGATCATGCAGTTTGTTTGCCTGACCCAGGCTGGGTCAGGAGCTGGCCTGGTCTGGTCTGGCACCTGCCTGCCCTCCAGTGTAGCTGTTCTCCAGGACCTCCTAGTCCTGCCCAAGCTGAGACCTTTTTCAGTATCTGGTGTCCCTTGGGGAATGGGGCAGGTAGCATGTTCCGTGTTTGCCTGGAGTTCACCTATATAGTAAGGAAGCCAACTTGTCAACAGGAAGTTCTAGAACCAGTTGGTCCAGGGCAATGGCCTATTCCAAAGAAGGCAGCTAAGGAGGGCTTTCTGGAAGAAGCCTGGGTTGGAGGGGAGTGGGGACTGTCTACCCAGTGCATCACGGTCCACTGAAGAAGGACTGACGTGTTGACAGGGCTGGGGGTGGGGAAGCTCAGGAGGCATCTGGGATTGCCTCTGCCTGCCAGTGGGAGCTGCACATGAGGCGTCAAGATCAAAGTTGGGGTCCTGTTTAACCACAGCTGGGCCCTGAACAGAATCTGGGGCCTGAGTGGGGGCCAGACTGCAGTCTGGGCAGAACTAGGGGGCCAGGATCATCAAGCCTTAGCCATGGCACAGAGGAGGAAGAGAGATGCAGGGCTGGGGGCAGTTGCACCTGAGTGACACCATGGGAGGTGGCTGTCACCACACAAGTTGGAGATACAGCGGAAGAGGTGGCAGAAGTACAAGCAGGTCTGGCTTGGGTTTCCCCAGGAGACATGTCTAGCTAGCTGTGGAAGGTGGAGCTGGCTGGAGCTCCAGGATGTGGGAGCAGAACAGAATCCTGAAGCGGAGCTGGCAGCCTGGGACCACTCAGTGAGCAGGGGACAGGAGGCCTGGGGTAGGGGTGTGAGGGTGGAGGCTGCTGGAGGAGGAGTGCCATGCAGCCCAGTCTTGGCATGGCAGTCACTGCCTGAGTCACCTCTGAGTGTAGCTGGGATGACACAGCTTCCTCGGACTGCAAATGCAAGGTGACCAGACGTCCTCTGAGTTAGACAGTCGTGGCTTGCCGAAGGGACTGGCCAGGGCCAGACTATAGCCTGGTGTGGGCCAGGCAGGGAGTGCAAGCTAGTGATGCACGCCAGGGAGGCTATGTCCCGTGTGGGAGGCAGGGGAAGCCTCTGTGGTCCTCAGTGGGCCGAGTGTGGGGCCACCTGGGGCTCCAGCTAACATCTGTTTACATGACAGGTACCCACTGGGTACCAGCACAGTGTTACCTGTCCTGTGGCCCTGGAAGGTCACTCTGCTTTGAGTACTTCTGTACAGGCTCCCAGCTCCTGAGTGGAAGAGCCACACTCAAAGTTGAAAAGTAAAAATTGATCCTCAGGGTGGGAGGCAGCTGTCTCTGGATTACCTGCTTTCTGAAAGAGCCCTTTCTGGGCTTTTGAGCTGGACTACCTGTCTTGCCCTGGAGGATGCTCAGTCTCAGGTCAAGTCCTCTGCAAGATGCTCCCCTACTTTTGGTGGGACGCAGGCTTTCTGCCTTGGTCTGTCTTGGAATAGAGGGGCTCACTATCACTATCTCTACTCCCTGGGTGGAGTTGGCACCTCCTGAGCTGCTGACCCTGGGACTCGAACTCAGAACGTTGTGCTTGCGAGGCACGGTACCACTAAGGTAAATCCCTGGCCCTGACCTCCCTCTTTAAGAGATGTTGTGAAGGACCTGTCGACCTGTTAGATGAACCTCACAATGATGTTTCTGTCTCTGGGTTGAAAACTCAACCTCTTCAGTTAGAGCAGCAGTCACCTGAAACGTGCTGCACATGGAGGGGGCTATCTGGAGACCCAGGGGATCAGCGGTGAGAAGTGACAGCCTTAGATCAGAGAATGGTACACACAGCAAAAACTCTGAGCTCCAGTATTCCAGACACCTCTAGCGACTTTTCTAAATTCTGAGAAGCTCAGGAGTGTCAGATCTGCGTGGTGTTGGCTAGTGGATGTTAGAAGGTTCACAGTGCTCTCACCAGAAGTTACTGAAGAGATTTTTTGTTGTGCTGGCCAGTCGCTGAGGCTGAATGCCTCCTTGGGCCAGGGTGGGAGGAAAGCCAATCTCTGTGAGGCTTCTTGTGGCTGAGGGCTTTGAATGCCCTCTTACCTGGCCAGACCTCCTGCCTCACATCCCCAACCCAAGGCTGGGAAAGGAGTTTCTCTGGGTTTTCCTGTGGCCTTGAGACTGCACAAGGGTTAATGTCTTACAGAGCCCCTTCAGAGCTATTTATTTATTATTTGGTATTATTTGAGACGATTTTACTATGTAGCCCACACTGACCTCAAACTCACAGCAGTCTTCTGCCTCAGCCTCCTGAATGCTGTAATTACAGGCATGTGCCACCACACCTGGCTTCAGTGTATTTTGAAATCTTGTTTTACTATTTTTCCCCACCTATAAAACTTTCCTTGGGATCAGGGTGTCTCAGTGGTAGAGCACTTGCCTAGGGGATGTGTGAAGCCCTGGGTTTGATCCATAGCACCACAAAATGCAAAGCCACAAACCCTCTCCTCCAGTCTTTCCAAAGGTCACCAGTTGTTCTTCCTGCTTTTGATGTTCTAAATGGCTTTAGTTCTGAACTGCATGGATGTGCTTTGTGTGTTTTGGGCATGGGTAAGTACCAGCCTCATCCTACCTACTTACTCAGTTCATGAAAAGCACTGTGCCAGGAAGGGCAGGACAACCTGCAGCCCATCCAGGCCTCACGTTCTATGTGGGCTGGCTGCTGAGGAATTGGCTGGGCAGATGATGGCCAGGTTGTCCCACAAGAGGGTCCAGTGTTCCCCTGCAGATCAAGTCCCTTGCCTGAAGAAGCAGGTATGGGGTGTCTGACACCATAACAGGCTGGAAGGGCACCCAGGACCCAGCCCTGGGTGCTGGCAGGGGGTGGGGTGAGAGTGTGGCCCAAGTCAGTCCAGCTTCTTTCTTGGCCTCACCTGGTAGGCCCTTTGAGGGCTGGGAGCCGGGGACTTCTGCACACTTTGCTTCCACCCCTTGTTTCTCTGCGGAAGCTGGCCCATCAAGTAGGTTCATTCACTCAGCTCCAAGTTCTGCCACATCAGAATGGGACATCAGGAAGGCAGTGTGTCCACATCCACACAGTCCTTAAGTGTCACCCTTGAGATGGCCAAGGACCCAGAAAGTACCCTGTGCTCAGACCCCACTGTAGCCTTTGCCTAGGGACCTTATGGGATTTTGGGGTTCCAGAAGCCATGTGAGGTGGGTGTGGTGCTCTCAGAGCCAGCGGACAGTGGAGTCCAAGCCAGGGAGGGGCCCAGCATGCTGTCTTGGTACTCCTGACCTCATAGAGGTGGTATCTGACCCTTGTGGGGTCCCCTGGAGCTGAGCCCCTGTCCTGTGTTTATCTGACCACCTCCGTGTCCTAACACTTGGCATGGAGGCATCTTCTTAGTGGAAAGGTCCCTGCACTGAGCTCTGGGCTGGGCTCAGCAGTCCCCTGTCTCCCAGAGGCCCAGCCAGTGGCCTCTTCCCGCCACCTTCCTTTTCCGTTGGCCCCAGGGCCCCCAGGGAGCCCGTGAGGGGCGGGAGGGGTGTCCTGTGTGGGAATGTGAGCAGGCTCTGTAAACAGCCAGTGACTCACCACATAACTATGTCACTGACGCTGGCCAAGCTGGAAGAGAGATGCCCGCCCTCCTCCCTGGGCACGGGAAAGTTTCTCAGGGCGCTCCCAGGGCCCTCACGCCTATAGACCCTCACAGGGTGGTGGGAGCTGTGGCCTCTCCAGTGTCACTGTACCCAAGCCATGAAGTGGGATCACTCAGCTGCTCTTGTCCCATTCGGGCCCAGGTATAACCTGTCAGGATGCTCACTTCGTTCCTTCTGTTTGCAGATCGAGGACATCTGCAGCTTCCTCAGGCTGGCCTCTGGCCAATGTCACCAGGGTGCCGGGTGCCCAAAGCCTGGAGCCCAGACCTTGCCTCAAGTTGGCAGCCTTCTGGTAGTAGAGGGTGGGGGTTGGGGGTAGGGCCCAGGGTAGAGGAGTCAGGCTCAATTCCGAGCTGCCCAACTCCTGTCTCGTCTGTACTCTTTTGGGTACTTCTTCAGTGCTGCTTTTGCCCAGCTCACCCAGTCTGGGTTTGGAATGTGGAGAGGGGGTGAGCCTAGGCCATGGCTTCTACCCATAGCCCTGGCCCTGTTGTTGGGGATGAATGAGTTTGTTTACTGTCTGACAACTTCGTGATGTCTCTGCACAGGCCTGACCTGAAGTCATGATTACTTGGTGTTTTTTTTTTTTTTTTTTTTTTT